ACTTTCCCATCACAGGCCTATCTTCTCTAACCTCTGCGCCATCACTCTCCAGGCTTTAGTCTGCAAATACCTCTACAAATACAATAGTCAACTACACATGAAAGTCATATTGGTCTTTAGCTAACAAGTTAGCATTTTAGCTAGCTTGTGTTAGTGTAAATAAACAAATGTCCAAGCTAGATAAATAGTACCTTACTATTTAGTAGCTTTGGTACTTGCAGCTTGTCACAGTTTGTTCCTTTCTTTGGTTGAAATAAAATTAACAAATACTGCATCATATAACACATAAAACATTATAAATTGATATTAGTACCCATAATATGCTTCCTAAAAAGCTTAAACCTACAGTAGATATTTAGGAAACATATACTGTTAATTTGCTGCATAGGTTTATTTAGGACATTTCTTATTTTGTTCATTAATTCTTTTAAAAACACTTCACAATATCCTGTTTTGGTTAGTTACACAGAGCAGACTGGAAGTTAGTTTAAAAATGTTAGAAATAAATAAATAAAACACTTTAAAAGAGTTTAACAAGTTTAATTTCCTGGAAGTAAAGTACAAAAAAACAAAAAAAACAAGTTTTGACAGAATTAAAGTACTCTTTTTGTTTTTACTCTACTGAGAAATGTAAAAGTGGAGACTCGGGTTATTGAGAGCCTGGGGCCCGGTGTCTGAATCTAAAAGGTGTCCTGTGCAGAAACCCAGCCAATCTGATAGTCCTCAAATAAACAGTAGTGGAACCTGCAAATAAACAGTTGCGGTCGAGGAGCCTCGGCTTTGCCCTGGGAGCTTGGCAGGGCCAGACACACACACACACACACACACACACACACAGACAAATAAACAGACAAACATGCACGTACGCACACGGCCCTTTTCCAAAAACAACACTTCTTGGCATGCTCCATCCCTGCCACTTGTTTAAATAAACAAACTGGCTCGTGAAGGAAAGAAAAAAAAAACAGTACGGTGTATGAATCAGATTATCTACTGTTACTCAGCAAAAAAAAAAAAAAAAAAAACTCAAGGGGGGGGGGGGACGACTGCATCAGAGACGGCGCTTGTGGACATTTTGGATGTGTCCACGAGTTCTTACACCTTCTTGTCCGGTGGGATACTTATCATACCGCTGTAACGATTAGGGCAATTAGTGGTTACGGCAACAGAAATCTGGCTCGGCAAGAAAGTTTCTGAGTGCTTATGAGGTTTCTCCACACCCAAGTGTGTTGCTCGCCTGGATTTTATAATCACTAAAACACTCGCACACTCTCGCTTGAACCCACCCTCCTCGTTCTTGGCACCGAACCCATTCTGTTCCCACTAAATTGTGGAAACACGTATGCACATAAGAGTGTGGGTTAAATTAGCCACATAGTTTGGGAAACTTTCTCCCCCACCGTTTTTTTTTTTTTTAAACTTTCTCTGTTAGCGGTGTAGCCCACAAACATTTGCAGACACGTATATATTTTTTAAAGCGCACACGCACGCCACGCACGCCTCTGCGGATGCATGCCGTTGTCGACATTTCAGGAGGAGAAGCCTGTCTGGCAGCCATTTTATACCGAGCAGGGTTCTGTGCACATGTATAGCTCTCTGGCTGCCAGAGGCATGGGTCCCGAGCCAAGATGCATTTCAGCAGCCTGGGGAGGCAAGCGGAGGAGGTGGGGGGTGTTGGACTCCCAGAGAAGCAGGGAATCAGAGGGAAAGAGGGAAAATATCCACCTAATTATGAAGCGGCTTCGATGTTTCGACAATACATCTGCTCCTGAGTAAATATTTGATGTGGCCAAGCAGACTTTCTCTTCAGCGTCCTCATGCTTTTCTTTCCTCTTCCTCAGTCTGTCCTTCCCTGGAAGTACACAACCGGGTGTGTGTGTGTGTAGAAGGGGTCACACAAGTCTTGACAGTCTTCATAAAAGACTGTACATGTGCTGGAATGAAACGAGTGTGTGCGTACGTTGTCTCGTGTCCTCTTGAGTTCCTGGTTTCTATCATTCACAGCTTTGTGGATGACCTCACACCGCTCGGGCTGGAGTCCAAGCAGCCAGCAGAACCTGCTCCCTTCTCCACATCTTTTCTTTCTTATCCACGCTATCCGTCCATCGCCGTGCCTGCAACAGTATCCGAGCTCCATTGTATCCGTTTTCATACTGTGTGTACTTCTACTGTTCAGCGTGTATCTTATCCGGTGGAAGGCTCACGCTACATCGTCTTGTTGTTGTTGTTGTTCTTAAACAGAACCCTTGATTTTCGTCTTTTAAGGTTTCCATCTGTGTTGGCACCCTCCCTGACCCCCCTCTCCCCGTTCGCCGCCTTTATTAATCGACCCCCCGTCTCTCTCGTTCTATCTCTTTGTCTCTCTATCTCCGTCTTCTCTCCCTCCCTTGCGCTTTGTTGTCTAAACAAAGTGGCCTTTATCAGGATGAGCCGCAACCCAAACAAGCCAAACAAAAGATATGGGCGAGAAAATCTGCCCGCAGAAGGGGGGGAGAGGGGGGGATCTTATCGTGCCAGCCTTTGTGTGCCAGCCTGCCAACTGGCGATGCTCCCCCCCCACCCCAACCCACCATTGCCAACCCCCTCCCTGAGCACTAACATACTCGCATGAGCCAAATTTTGGCATCTTAGGCCCCCCAACAAGGACTGATGCATGGCACTGTGCAAAGAGCTGGCACCCGACCTGGCCAACAGGAGAGAGAAGCCGACGCCGAGGGTGAAGGGAAGATGAATCCGGAGCCAAATGAAGAGCCATCTTTTGGGTGGCTTGGTCCCACAAGCACGATGAGCTGTGCAAAAGACTTAAATCATAGCTTGTTGTTGTCGTAATCAGGATTTCTGAGGGTTTTTCAGAGTTTCTGGTTGAGTTTTTACTCATTTACTGTCCAGTACCTGACTCTTTTCAGATGGATGGTATTTATGTTATTATATACGTTTAACTCCAGCCCTTGAATCATTCAGGCATAAACAAAAATCCCCAAAGCTCGAGGGTTTCAAGTGATTAGACAACTGGCAAATTTTATGTTTGATCTTAACTACCAAAAATGCTAACTAGCTAATACGTTAGACATGCACTAAGGTTAATTCTTTAGCTGGTAGCTATAAGTACTATATAGCCATTACTTAGATACTATTCACTCTTTAGCTAACAATAGCTGAAATAATAGCTAACACTTAAGATAAGTACTAAAATTCACTTTTAAGTAAAACACTATCCAAAAAGTACTTCAGATATGTACAATTATATATTCTTATTAGTTAATAGCTAAAGAGTTAACAAGCTAGCTAGTTGGGGATTTAGAAAACAACTGCTACTATCAGATTTATCAGCTAGCTAATAAAGTTATTAGCTAGCTAATAATTTAGATAGGTACTAAGGTTCACTCTTTGCTGGTAGCCATCTTAAGATAGCCATTACTTAGATAGGTGCTATTCACTCTTTAGCTAACAGTAGCTGAAGTAATAGCTATCCAGAAAGTACTTTATATATGTACAAATCTATATCCTTATTAGTTATTAGCTAAAAAGCTAGCTAGTTGGGGCTTTAGAAAATGACTGCTATCATCAGATTTATCAGCTAGCTAAAAAAGTTACAAGCTAGCTACCAACTGTCACTAGCAGCCTGTCACAAAAATGCAGTTTGTCCCATTTTTAGTTGAGTTTTAATAAAAACAACAAAGCTAACACCATTTGAGAGACAAAAATAGATTTTTAACACTGAATAAATGTGATTTCCAAAGAGCTTTTAGCTGAAAACTTGTCCTAAAGTAGATGATCAACTGAAGGATGACATAATTCTGAGGACTTGGCTGTTTATTTTTCATACTGGTTAAAAACTTGACTTTCAGATATGGTTCATTTACTGTAAATAGATTTTTAGGCCTGATGCTCCTTTGTTTGTCTTTCACTTGAACACTTTTGTATATGTATTTTTTAAATCTCACATTGCACAATATGCCTTCATGAGCTCAGCTGAAAATTAGTGGAGAATAAAAAGCGCTTAAAGTTAAAAGAAAAATTTTAAATCATCTCTAAAAAGTCCTAAAGACGTACTGACAGAAACCACTTCACAAGAGTACAGAAATGTGTGGCCCAATGGAAGAAAAACATAAAGAAATATGGCTGAGTTGTATCTCACAAACGGAAACTCAGGACAACTTCCTGGTTTCTTGATCCAAAGTTGGCAGGTCTGGTTGCAGGACTGAACCACCAAATACAAAGAAACATCCATACGGCGGTAGAAAAGAATAACGTCGTGTCTCTGTGGGCTCTGACGGCGCTCCTTCAGTCGAGGCTTTACACCCTGACTCTGTAATGATGATCTCATAATTGGGAACGAGGGAATTATATTCTTATTGGCCTTAAAGGAGCACCCAGTGATCTGGGGCTTCTTCCATATCGAATGACTGCGTGTGACGGAGGGAATGCAGGTATGGTGGGATTAGTTACACACACACACACGCGCACACACAGAAACGAATATGGGGGGGAAAAAAGGGAGAAAGTGAGAGGAGCAAAGTTGAAACGTCTGTGAGAACAATGAAGTGTTGACTTCTTTTCTTTAGGACAGACACCACAGACTTGTTCAACAGACCCCCCCCCCCCCC